ACGTCCCTTGCTCAATCAAGCTCCGCATCTCCTCATCCATCACCTCCTTCACCTTGTCGCCCTTCCAGCAGCCCAAGGCCTCCTTTACTGTTATCTTTGCTATATCCCACTGCCTCTCAGGGTCGGCCACCACGTCGGGGTCCAGGTCCGTCCACTCCTCATCCTCCTCCTCGTCATCCAAACCCGCCGGCTCAACCACTACAGCCCAAGCATAGCGAACAGGCGGGACACCACGAGTGATGCAAGTGGAGAGACACAGCGGTGCAGTGATCGTCCCAGAAGCCACCATACGACCACCATCTCTAATTCCCCACATCTCCTGCTCCCCCGTCTGCGGCCCCCCTGTCTGCTGCTCCCCTGGCTGCTGGTCCACCATCTGCTGGTTCCCAATCTGCTCCTTCCCTATCTGCTGCTCCCCACTCTCCATCCCCCCACTCTGCTGCACTCCATCCATACTGCTCTCCTCCTGCAGCTGCTCAGTCACAAGGTTCTGCCCGTCGGTGATCACCATAGATGGCGGCACCACTATCCCCCCCTCACCAACGGGCGGCGCCGTGGAAGATGAAGAGGAGGATGGAGCAGGGGCAGGAGGGATGGAGGGTGGAAGGGGAGAGGGAATAACAGGAGGAGGAGCGGAAGACAAGGGGGGTGAGGAAGAAGAAGGCGGGGCAGGGGGAACCACATAAGGGTAAACGGAAGGCGGAGGTGGGATGGGGACCGAGGTAGGGACATAGGGCATAGCAGGAGGTGCGACCACCTCCTCCTCTTCCACCGCCTCCTCAAGAGTGATCGGGAAGAGTGAGGGAAGGGGCTCATACGGCATCGGACGCCCCGCATGCTCCTGCTGGTGCCAAGCCTTCCATCCTGCCAGGGACATGGTCTTATAGAACACAGCTTCCACAGTGGTGATGAGGCGGTTGGACTCCAAGTCCAGCACGGTCCAGCCCTTGCTCACTGCTGACACCCCCAAGTGCAACCCCCAGCGAGCCTTAGGCGCCAGCTTCCCCTCGCGCTGCGACTGCGGCACCATGTACTGCAGCATGCAGCCCCAAACACGCACCATACTGACATCGGGTTTGCGTCGGAAGGCGAGCCCGTACGGCGTCACACCAGAGGGCAGCGAGGCGTGCTCCACGCGGTTGCGCACCCAGATGGCCTGCGACAGCGCCAGGTGCCACCAGTGATGCTGCACACCCATGTGCAACAGCATCGTCCGCACCGCCTCCACAATGCTGCGCATCTCCCCTCTCGGCCATCCCATTCTGCTCCGGCGTGTACGGGCACGTGAGGTCGTAGATGATCCCCTTCTCGTCGAGGAAAAGTGTGAAGTCGTGTCCCAGGAACTCGCCACCCCGATCAGTGCGCAGCGCCTTCACTGTGGTCTTGCACTGACGCTCTGCCATCGGGAGCCACTTCTGGAACGCCGCCAGTGCATCGCTTTTCTTGGCCAAAGGGTAGGCCCAGACGAACCGCGTCTTACGATCTTTCATCACCAAGAAGTAGCGGCTGCCGTCCTTAGCTGCTTCACGAAACGGGCCACACAGATCAGCATGCACCACCCCGAGCAATTCATCCTCCTCCTCTCCCACAGAAGGAAAGGTATGACGAGTGATCTTCCCCCCAACACAGGAGACACAAGGTATGCCTGACTTTCCCCCCTTCTCCAAATCCAAGCCCTTCACTGACCCGTGAGCCGCAGTGCGCTCAATGGCATCAATACCAACGTGTGCCATACGCGCATGCCACATGTCTGTCTTAGACCGCATGCCCGTCGCCAAGGTACGAAGCGCCACCGTTTCGCCTTCCTGCTGCTGGGTTGAACACGGCTGGAAGTTCGTGCAGAGAACACGGCCCCTGAACACCGCACGACCAAGAAGCGATCCATCTGGTGCCCTTAGCAGAGTCACGTCGCCCGCATCCAGCAGCTGCACGCCGCTATCACGCAGCTGCCCAGCAGAAAGAAGACTTGCCTGCACTCCAGGTACGTACAGCACGTCCGGCACCAAGATATGCCTGCCCCCCTCTCCAAGAAGAGCGACTGTGCCCCGCCCCTGCACCTCCTGAAGCACGCCGTTGAAGCCAGTAACTAGTTTAATACTGTCGCCGCTGCTCATCTCCACAAAGGCAGAATGATCTCCCATGAGATGGTGGGAGCATCCGCTATCAAGCAGCACGACGCTCGGGTTCGCCTTCACAGCAGCTGCAACAGCCTGTAAGCCCTCTCCGGCCTCAGGCTCTAGCACAACGAGAGGAGTCTGCTCCACAACGGGCTTCACCATCGCACATGATGACTGCCCGCTCCCCTTAGAGCCATCACCCCCCTTGCTGCTGCTACCTCCAAAACCATCTCCACCAGTGTCTGCCTCCTTATCCGCCCGCTACTGACAGTACTTGCAACATGCTCTATTTGTCCACACACGTAGCACCTCCCCTTGAAGCCCCCTTCCCCACCCTTCGGCTGGCCATCCTTACCCCCTTTCCACTTCTCCCCTCCCCCACCAACCCCACCCCCATTCTTAGGCTGCTGCTGCTGTGCCGTAGTGGGAGGGGAAGGAAATGAAGTCTGCTGGAATTGGGGCTTACCCTTCTTGGTAAAGACCTGGTTAGCGTGGGGAAAGAGTTGGTCCTTTCGTCCCTCCGCCGCCAGCGTACACTCCTCCTCGATGATGTAGCTAGCGAGGGTGTCCTCGTCCAACTCCTTGCGCACCTGCGGCAACTTCAGCATCCTGTGTAAGAGGTTGTACTACTGCGGCAACCCCTTCACAACGTGAGTAATGTACGACGCCTGCGAGTAATCTACGCCGACCATCCTCAGGTTCACTAGAATCTGCTGCGCACGGTTGCAATAGGAAGTAGTGGACTCGTGCTCTCCCATCTCGAGGTTAGTGAGCGCCTGCTCTAACTGACCGATGTACAGATTGTCCTTCGCCATGTACGTGCGCATAATAAACTGCCATGCCTGATAGCAGGCATCTACCTTCATGCGACACGCCTTAAGGGCAATCTGTACGGTTGGGGAGCAGCATCGGGAAATGGTGGTGAACGTCAGCAATTGCATCGCGCGGAACTGGGAGAGATGCGCAAGCGCACGCGCTGGTGGAATGGGGGTGGTGCCATCTATGAATCGCTTTAGCTGAGCGATCTCAAGCTGCGGCTCGATCGATTCTGTCCATGTCGATAGGTCGTGCCGTCCTTCTAACGGCCTAGGGACGAAGATCTTGTCTGGAGTGAATTTAAAGTAGCCATAGTTGGGGGCTATTCCCTCGTCCCTCGGCATTGATCCAATCGGGGTAACGCCCGGCATAGCCTCACTATCGTACTCCTCCGCATTCCCTCCTCCAGAAACGCTCCGCCGTCCTACATTCTCATGCTCTCGTGACGCTGCCGCACAATGAACACGCTCCTGTACACCGCCGACGCAAGCCGTACTAAACCGAGTTGGTCCTCGCAGGACCCCACGCGACATCAACCCATCAAGCTCCTCGTCATCGCTATTTCCGCCATCGACAGCCATATCCCACGCACTAGTTCTTCCCGCAGCTTATTCGACATTCTCTACATGAGGCGAAGGGTGCTCACGACGCCGACGCGAGCGCAATCCCTCCAACATGAGCTCGTATTTGATATCACTAATCTCACCACAAGAATAACGAGCCACGAGATCCTCCTCTAGGCCGCGCAAATAACCGGCCTCCACGTTCGCCTCCTCCGTACTCATCCTCTACGACGTCTCTATAAGGTACCACAAATTAAAATAAATTACCCCTTCCTTAAATCCCTCGTCTCGGGTGTCAGTAGAGCTGCACTGTGAGATCCCCGATTGATCCTTGAGGGGTTACAGGCATGTTAGCCTGGGGGGTTATGGGCGCACTGACCCGCTACTGAAACAAGCCCTTTTATCCCAATGGTTTAGTGGTTGGGATTCTGACATCGAAGCCACCTCACAAGGGTCCTCAGACGAGTGGTAATAAATTACCAAACGCCCTATCTTTGGGTCCGATAACGTAACTGGAGGGAAATCAAGAGAGGTTCAACTTAGATTAATAAGCGCCCTTCACTAACACCGCATGTCAAGGCGAGTATACGAACGCGAATATCAACGACGACGGAAATCTATGCGTGTTCGTTCCACGCTCACCGCACCATGAAGGAATACTATGGAGAGCATTACGACGGCGAGAGAGCTTCTACTAACACGATGGTGTTGCGCTAGCAACTCGGTAGCATTCCAGTAGTGTTTGTCTCTAAGGACTTATTGAGAATTCAAGTAGCAATTGGGCCAAGTAGAATTGTAATATCAACTATGAATACAAAAGCAAACACACAAGTAGATATAGGCTACGGGAAGGTTTCACAAAGTTGGCGTGGTGCTGCGCAGTAACCCAACCCCACGAAAGTGGTGTGCAGGTGGGTTGAACGCGCCTCGTACAATTTCAACCCAACTCAGCAGCGGAATTGCCTTTCACACGCCACCCCAGCCAACACCAACTCCAACTGACGCCCACTGACTTGCTAGGAAGTGGCACGCTTCCCAAGAATCGTGCTCACAACTTCCCTAGACTAGCAGCACCCCAGCACAGACTTCGTTGGCACTGCAGTAGTCGCGCGACATCAGCGCACTCCTTGCATTGGTCTCTTTCAATGCCCGTCTTAGTGTAGTTGTCTTGCCAAGTCGTCGAGGGCCCTTGCTGTCGTAGAGCCCTCTAACACTCTGATGTTGCCACAAGCACGCATCAGGTGGGGAGAGTGACGAAGAGGCAAAAGCAAAGGCACTAGAGGGATGCCTTGTGGCAGTGGAAGGAGAGAATGGGTGGAAAGCGAGGTGGTGCATGCTAGTACCTAGGACTGTAAGTTTTGGTACCACATACCGGTACCCCTGAGTACCGCAAGGGTACATGGGGAAATTAGGAAATGTACCTTATACTCTAAATACGGTAACATCATGTTTTATTTCCTACAACACAGGTCAACAACAGTCAAGAAAGGCCAACAATACAGCACTACCGGGCATAGGGGCTTGTGAGCGTCTGATGGTGCGTGCCAGTGTCGTCGTACCCACCCATCCCTCTCTGCTCCACCTCAAAGTTTGACCAGTTTGACCCTGGTTGACTAGTTGAAACAGGCAAGTGGCTCCAGAGGGTTGACAAGCTGGCAGGCCCTCCTGTGACTCCACTCTCAGGTGACCGGGTGGCAGAGGAATTTGCTCCTGCTACTGCACTGCTGGTATGACTGGCGCCACTTGGTGACTTTTGAGTCGACTCAAATTTTCCTGCTACTGCACTGCTGGTACGACTGGCAAACGATGGGGCAGCAGAACCGTAACCACTGGCGCCACTTGAGATAGCCCCTGCAGGGCACACAGGAGTGCCTCCCCCAGGTAGCGCCCGGAGGTGGTCCCTGATGCTGCGCAGCGCAGATACGACCTGCTCCATGTCAGGACGAAGCGAGGGGTGCTCTGCCGTGCACCACAGCGCCACCCGCAGGAACGTGCCGAACGTCTCCTCCAACCCCTCCACCATCTCCCCTGCACTCACTTCCCCTCCTGCCGCAGAAGAAACAACAGCAACGGCAGCAGCAGAAGCACTGTGAAAAGAAGCTCCGTTTACCCCAGCAGCAGTGTGAAAAGAAGCACCGTTCGACGCAGCAGCAGCAGCAGCAGCAGCAGCAGCAGCAGCAGGGGCCTGGAGAAGGTCAGAGAGTTTGGGGTCGATGGCGGCGGGCAGGCCGTGTTGGCCGAAGGCGAGGTGCAGCACGACCTGGCTGAGCGGCACTCCCTGAATGACGGGCGGCTGCCCCGTGGCCAGCTGCAGCAGCACCACCCCGAAGCTGAACACGTCACTGCGCTCCGTCAGCACCTCTGACTGCGCGAAGTGTGGGTCGATGTAGCCCTGCAGGTTGCGCGTGTGGGGGGAGGGGAAGAGGAGGAAATAGAGGGGGAAGAGAGCGGAATGGGAAGCTAAACACGTCACTGCGCTCCATCAGCACCTCCGACACAGCAAAGTGTGGGTCGATGTAGCCCTGACAGTAGAGAGGGTAGGAGATGGGAGGTTGACAGCATAGTGAGCTGACTGTGCAAAGTGTGGGTCGATGTAGCCCCGGAAGAGCGGGGGTGGGGGTGGGGGGGAAGGAAGGGGAAAAGGGGCTGTTGATTGACAACCTAGTAAGTTGACTGTGCGGGCCAATGTAGTCCTGAGGGGGGGGGAAGAGGGGGGGAGAGGAGAGGAATAGGGGGTTGACAACATAGTGAGTTCGACTGAGAAAAGTGCGGGTCCATGCAGTGTTGGGGAGACGGGATAGGAGAGAGAAGAGAGACACACATGGGATGCGACTGGAGGATCTAGAGTGCAAAGAGCAACAAGGTGGTTTTTTAGTCGACTTAAAAATCGCCTCATCACACAAGAGAAAAACACATGGGACTTGAGCATCTAGAGTGCAACTTGAGCAAGAAGGCGCGCAAAAACTCGTCTCGTTTACTACTCGCCACAATCGGGGAATGTGGTCTGATGTCAGTAATGCTCGACAAGGAAACATGTACTTGTTTCCTGCTCGGCCAAAAAGGCAGAAAAAAACTACACGCAAGTTGATTCTCCTCGCAAATTGTTTACCTACTTCACACGTTCTCAACTTGCTGCTAAAATGACAGTTTGTTTTGTGTGTGTGTGTGTGTGCGTGCGTGTGTGTGTGTGCGTGTTTTTGGGGGGAGGATTGTATTTCTCACCCTGCTGCCGATGATTTCCTCCTGCACCAGCTCGCCCCTTTCAGGCAGCGACTTGGAAATGCCAAAGTCGGCCACCTTGGCTTCGAGAGCTGCTGTCAGCAGAATGTTGGCGGGCTGGGAGGGAGAGGAGAGTGACGGAAAGAGAAAAAAGTAAAAGAAAGAAGTTATCAGATTGGGAAGGGTGGGGATGGTATTTAAAAAAAAAAAAAAAAAAAAAAAAAAAAACACAGTTGGGTGGCAGCACACCTTGATATCGCGGTGGATGATGCCGGGTCTCATCTCCTTGTGCAAGTAGTGCAGCGCACTTGCCGCGTCGAGAGCGATCCGCATCCTCTCCCTCCACGATAGAACACGCCCCGTCTTACCTGCAACGCCATTCATTTGGGCAGTGGTAAGCAGACTGTTAAAAAAAAAAAGGAATTCTCTCCTTCCATGATAGAATGCGCCCTGTCTTGCTTGCCGTTTGGCATTCAATGTAGTGTAAAGCAGAATTGAAAAAAAAAGTACAGGACATTACACACAAATGCTTCCAACAAGGGTTAAGGCAAAATCAAGCGGTGTCAAACCTTTCTCCACACACCCAACCAACCGCACACAACCGCACTGCATCCAACGGCAACCCACCTTTGATCCAGGCGTCCAGCGCCCCCCCCTCCATGAATTCGAACACCAGCAGCTGCTCGTCCTTCTCCACACAGAAGCCGGTGAGCTTCACCAGGTTGCCGTGCGACACCGCCGTCAGCATCTCGATCTCGTTCTTGAAATCCACCCCTGCATGCCGATGCTTCTCCGTCGCTTTCTTTATCGCCACCGACTCGCCGTTGAGAATGCCATGGTACACCTGGATAAGAGCGAAGGAAACGGTTTGGTTTTTGAGGGGCTTAAAAAATTGTCTCATGACTCGCGGATTTTATACAGGGAGAATTGAGAATGCCATGGTACACTTGGAGATGAGCAAGGGAAACAAGTATACGAGAGAGAGAGATACATTCCTGAGAACACCTCAGTACACATACCCATCATGTCCCAAGTATGAAATGCTTGGGGACAAGATAATAAAGAACGGCAAATGAGATGGACTGGAGAAGAGAGAAAATCGACTGGAAAACGCGTTATTTGGCCTCAAATTCACCTTGCCATAACCTCCCATGCGCAACACCAGTGAGTCATCAAAGCCACTGGTTGTCTTCGCCAGAGAACTCTATTTCAAGATAAAATGTTACCCTCTCAGGAACACACGAAGACTGCCTTCCTCTCCCTCCCAGATTCACCTTGCGGTAACCGCCCGTGCCCAGCACGAGCGAGTCAACGACATTAGTTGCCTCTGTCAGCTAACAAAAACTATCTGCACACCTCTCCCTTCCAACACTGTTCCACCCTCTCAAGAGCCACAGAAAATGCCTTCCTCTCCCTCCCTCCTCGCCTTCACCTTGCTGTAACCACCCGTGCCCAGCACAAGCGAGTCATCAAAGCCGTTGGTTGCCTCTGCCAGCTGTCGCAGCGTTTCTACCTCTCATGCCCTTCCGGACCCTCTCATCTCATGCTGTCCTGTGCCCTCTCACACGGTCACACCTACCTTGCCGTAACCACCTACCTTGCCGTAACCACCCGTGCCCAGCACAAGAGAGTCATCAAAGCCGTTGGTTGCCTCCGCCAGCTGTCGCAGCGAGTAGCGGCGGGCGTGCTGCAGGGTGATTCCCTCCAGTGCCTCGTAGTCCGCATGGCTCCACCCTGAAAGGAGGAAAGAGGGAGTAGGTGGGCGGGATGAACGTGTGAGAGGGATGGTGGAGCGGGGGGTGGAGAAGAGGGGTCAACGAGCGAAAGCAGGGTGATGCCCTGCCCTCCATGGCCTCGTAGTCCGCATGGCTCCACCCTGCAGTGAGAGGATGAATGGGTGTGAGGGGTTTGGGAGGGGATTTGGAGGGGATTGGGAGGGGATTGGGAAGGGATTGGGAGGGAATTGGGAGGGGATTGTGAGGGGATCGGGAGGGGATTGGAGGAACATGGATGGGAGTTGATGAATGGATGAAAGGATCAATTGCCGGTTGGTGCAATTCCATGCCCGTAGAGCCAGAGCACCTGAAAGGGCAACAGGGTGAAATCTATGGTATGAGGAAAGAGGGGTGTGAGTCTGTGAGGCCATGCTCCATGCCAAACTCTTCTCTACCACACAAACCAGTTTGATGTTTTTTTTTTTTTTTTTTTTTTTTTTTTTTTTTGCCTTAATCAGATTGGAAAACTATGGACCACTGCCTATTACATTCAAAAGCCTGTTTAAGGGTCATGGCATGGATAGTCTTGGAACCGCCTAAACGGAATCTGACGACCTGGTGAAGTGAAACTTGAGCGTTACACACAGAAATGTGTGTAACACACATTTGCGAGATGACATAAATCATGTAACTTGAATTGACATGCTCCGTATACTGCAGCAATAGCTCTGAGACTTCAAAGACTTGGTGAAGCTATAGTGAAGTACTTTCCACATAAAAGAAAAGTATTTTTGAGACGTCTAAAAAATACTCCTTTTTCACATGGCTTTCCCGTAAAGCTTCAGAGGCTGAGCAGGCCTGTAGGCCAAATGGGAGTGCAATGACTGTACCACTGTAGTGCGTTGGCACGAAAAACCTCCTCCTTCATATCCCGCTCACCCCGTTTCTTCCGCCCACCTCTTACCTCCCTCTCGAAGTCTCCTCCCTTTCACCTTTCGTTTTCCTCTCCCCTTCCCTCACCTTTCTCTTTCCCCCCAACTCTCTCCTCTCACACCATCCACTCTTCTCCATGAGGGCGATCACAACAGAAGGAAAATGTGATTCGATGCAAAAACTTTTGAGGCGCCTCAAACGTAGACACCTCTCCTCTCTCCACGCTCACACCATTCACTCCTCTCTATGAGGGTGATTGCCAACAGAGGCGGAATCTGAGTCAAAGAAAACACCACTCACTCCTCTCTATGAGGGTGATTGCCAACAGAGGCGGAATCTGAGTAAAAGAAAACACCACTCACTCCTCTCTATGAGGGTGATGACAACAGAAGAGGCATCTGAGTCGAACAAAAAACCACTCACTTCGCCGCTCCCAGGGGCGCATGAGAAGAGCCACGACGAGGGTGATGGCAACAGCAGCGGAGCACACTGAGATGGCCACGATGGCACCCGTGCTCAGCCCAGAGGAGGCCTGCTGCTGTGACGGGGAGTTGTAGGCTGCATTGGGATGGAGAGAAAGAAGGAACAGGATAAGCAGGTGTAAGGTAGTACGGAAGAGAGGAGGGAGGAGATTGAGATGGCGACAATGGAGCTTGTAATCAGCCCCTGATGTCGCCTGCTGCGATGAGTGCGATGACGAGTTGTAGGCTGTGGGTTGGTTGGATGGGTTGGAAAAGGAGAGCGCAGAGAAAAGAGAGGAGGGAGGAGACTGAGATGGCGACAATAGAGCCTGTAATCAGCCCCTGATGTGGTCTGCTCCGATGGGTGGTTGTAGGCTGCATTTGGAAGGAGAGAAACAAGGGAAAAGGAACGCGGGTGAGGGGTAGGACGGAAGAGACGAGAAAGGAGACTAAGATGACAACAATGGCGCCATTTCGCAGCACCACATATGATCTGCTGCGATGGTAGGAAGTATTTGGAATGAACGAAGAAGACAGATACGCAGGTGAACGGGCAGAAGAGGGATAGCACAGAAAGCGAAATATTTCAGTTGAGAGAAACAGAGACAACTGGCACAAATTGGTGAAATGATGGCTACCAAGCTTGGGATAATTCAGCTCAGACATCTACAACATCACTCGTCCTTAACAGCATTTACAACATTGGGATGAAACATGAAGCCAGACTCACGCGCGGGGCCGTAGAAGCCTGCGACCCGAAAGAGCCCAAAGTTGCCGAGAGCAACGCGCACGGCAAGGTCCCGGGAGGTGAGGGCGTTGCGGATGGCCTGCGGTGTGTCTCGCGGGTACCAGCTGTCATCGCCGCCCGGCGGGAAGAAGAGGACGTTGATGATGAGCGTTGACTCGTGATCGGCGTGCTCCGAGGCGAAGGTGGAGGCGAGCGAGTAGAGAGAGGCGGGGCTGCTGATAGCAGAGATGAGGAGCTGGTGGGGAGTGATGGGAGGAAGAAGGAAAAGGCGAGAGAATGGATGAGAAATCAAGTCCTGGATTCGTGGGTGGTGCGCTTTGGGGATGCCCTGGGGTGTGGTATGTTGCAGGGGAGTCGTCAGACATTGTTGGCCCCTGGGGGGGAAGAAGAGGAGGGTGATGATGAGCATGGACTCATGATCGGCGTGGTCTGAGGCGAAGGTGGAGGCGAGCGAGGAGATAGAGGCAGGGCTGCTGATAGCAGAGATGAGGAGCTGGTGGTTGTGAGAGGGACAGACAGAAAGAGACCGTGACGAAGAGAAGTGACTGATGCATGTGTGGTGTGCTCGGCAGGAAAGGATGATGCGAACGAGCGATCAGTGGGAGGTCGGGCTGCTGATGATGGCAGTACATAGTACCAAACTTAATCTTAGGCAACGCACTTCTACTTGGTATCGAACATAAGCTTAAGTAACGCACTTATACTTCGCACTCGTCGTACCTATGAACCGACCTGGCCAAAAAGATGGGTCGGATCAGATAAGGTCGACGTGATCTGACTGTGCCATTCGAGATTACCCCCGTGTTGCTGATATTGAAGGCTCACTTGGGACCGGCTGATGTTGATCTGAGACTTGCCGGTGAGCTCAGAGAAGAGCCTCTGCCCAGCTGCTGCAGCTCCGAGTAAACCCAGAGGGTAACTGCCCTCCAGCCCAAATACTCGTGTTCCCCTGGGATTTCCTAGACAACTCACTTGCGGCCTGCTGATGTTGATCTGCGCCCTGCTAGTGAGCTCAGAGAAGATCCGCTGCTCTAACTGCGCCACCAACTCCTCATGGTACACCACAAAATCCGATATAAACAGCTCCAGGTCGGCTCTTAACGGGGACACGCACACGCAGGAGCGCGACTCGTTATAGAGCGGTGCGCTAGGGCTGTAGAGGTCGGACTGGCAGGCAAGGCCGTCGCAGAAAGCAGGGGCAGTGTATTGGGTGAGGGGCGTCGGGGGGGAGCAGACTTGCGTGTAGTCTGGAGTGAATGGCTTGCACAGATCGTTGTTGAAAAGCCTGGGGGGGGGTGCGGTTTGGGGGGCAGGGGAGGGAGGGAGGGAGCAATGAATGGTATGTGAATGAGGAGGGAGGGAGGTTGTGGGGGAGCAGACTTGCGTGCAGTTTGGCATGAATGGCTTGCATTGCATAGATCATTGTTGAAAAGCCTGCAGGGGGGAGGGGGTGGAACAGAGATGGTGAAACAGTGGGAGAGAAATGGGTGATGGATGGTGGGAAGGAGCAAGCATTCGTTCCAAGGGCTCATGGCAAAAGGGCTTGCAAACGTTATCATTGCAACGAAAACGACGACGACGACGCATACTGGAGAGAGAGAGAGAGAGAGAGAGAGAGAGAGAGAGAGAGAGAGAGAGAGAGAGAGAGAGAGAGAGAGAGAGAGAGAGGTTGCTCTTGGTGAGCACGGTGGGCGGCACACTAAAGAGGCCACTCACTGCAGCGTGATGTTGTTGCTCTTGGCGAGCATATCGGGCGGTATGGAGGAGAGGGAGTTGTCAAACAGGGAGAGTGACACGATGCTGGGTAGCGCTGAGAGGTCCGGCAGGGGGCCGCTGAGCTGGTTGCCTGAGAGGAAGCTGGAAGGGTGGATGAAACAGGGGAATGAGGGGGAATGATAATAATAATGGTTTGCTTGTCCTCTTTGAAAGGGAACCAGTCACACTGGGAGCCATGAGAGGGATGACTTTGAGACATGGCGGGAGGGAGGCAATGGAAAGGGGAGAAGTGCCGATGGGAAGGAAATGAGAGAATAGAGAGAATAGAGAGAATAGAGAGGCAGCATCAGCAAGACATGGACCTCTTGGAGCAGGCTTATGCTCGCTCTGCTATTGTTATGGCCCTAAATTCTTATCTTGGACATTGTTAGATAGAGCTTAATTCCACGTTCAGGCTAGGTCCAATTTCCTGTCATCATCCTAAGTTGAACACACACCCTAGGTTCAGTTGATGTTTCAACCCAGCCTGCTTGTAACCTTGTTGCACCACGATTTTACACCATACACTTTCTTTCCCGTTCACCACTCGGCTACGTGGAGAAAGACGCACGCGTCCTGCTGCGTCCTGCGTCTGGACGCAGCGTCCAGACGCAGAGACGCAGGACGCCCCCCGTATTTGTTTTCGGGCTGACCGGAAAAAGAAATTGCCCCAGCGCGAAATTGACTAACGATTTCGACGCGACTGTCAATGTTGCGTCATGTCGACCCCCCCTAACCCATTTCGACCATCAAAAACACCCTAGAGGGTTTACAAAGACAATTCTCCTTCGTAAACCCTAAACCCTGAGAATTTGAAGGGGACGATTTTGCCTCAAATGTGTGCATCGTCGTTTCCCCCCCCTTCCCATACCCTATAACATCATTTTTCGGCTGCCCGGGGGTTTTTTTTGCCCTGCCCGGGCATGCGTCTTTTCATGCGTTCTAAAGGCCCTCCTCTAGCGTCTTGCGTCTAAGACGCTGCGTCTGGACGCAAGCATCCTCGATGCAGGACACGTCTTTCTCCACATAGCCACTCGGTTCCTCAAATTTTCCACTTTCCAAATATGCTGTTTATACCAACTATGCCATATATACCAGACATATCAGGTTGAGGTTGGCGGTTCTCCCACTCACACGGACTGCAGATTGGCAGCATCGGCGATTGCTGGAGGGAAGCTCGAGTCAAGATCGTTGTTGGCCAAATTGCTGGCGATGGAGGGAGGAAGGAGGGAAAGATGAGGGGTCATGAAAAGGGGCAGGAAGAAGGGTCTGTTGCAATAAGACTTGAGACTAACACGAAGCTAAAGGCATGGGGTGCATGGTACGGCATGGGGAGCATGGCATGGGGTGCACGGCATGGCATGGGGAGCATGGCATGGGTGCATGGCATGGGGCGCATGGTATGCGCGCGTGGCATGGGGTGCAATGCAAGGCATGGGGTGCAAGGCATGGGTGCATGCATGGGGTGCATGCATGGGGTGCAAGGCATGGGGTGCATGCATGGGGTGCATGCATGGGGTGCATGCATGGGGCGCAAGTCGATGAACAAGGCACAGGCACTGTAGGAAACACAAAGAGAAGAGATGAACTGACAGGTTGACGAGGTTAAGGTGCTCCCAGAATAGAACACCCGGGATGGAGCCTGTGAAACTGTTGCTGCTCAGGTCGCTGGGATAGAGGGGAGAATAAGGAAGAGGAGCTTCTGAGTCGCCTCAAAAGTCATTCTCCCAGAATAGAGAGCCGGGGATGGAGCCTGTGAATGGGTATGGATGAGGAGCAACGGATGAGATGGATGGATGGATGGATGGACGGACGGACGGACGGACGGACGGACGGACGGACGGACGGACGGACGGACGGACGGACGGACGGACGGACGGACGGACGGACGGACGGACGGACGGACGGACGGAGGGAGGGAGGGAGGGAGGGAGGGAGGGAGGGAGGGAGGGAGGGAGGGAGGGAGGGAGGGAGGGAGGGAGGGAGGGAGGGAGGGAGGGAGGGAGGGAGGGAGGGAGGGAGGGAGGGAGGGAGGGAGGGAGGGAGGGAGGGAGGGAGGGAGGGAGGGAGGGAGGGAGGGAGGGAGGGAGGGAGGGAGGGAGGGAGGGAGGGAGGGAGGGAGGGAGGGAGGGAGGGAGGGAGGGAGGGAGGGAGGGAGGGAGGGAGGGAGGGAGGGAGGGAGGGAGGAGGGAGGGAGGGAGGGAGGGAGGGAGGGAGGGAGGGAGGGAGGGAGGGAGGGAGGGAGGGAGGGAGGGAGGGAGGGAGGGAGGGAGGGAGGAGGGAGGGAGGGAGGGAGGGAGGGAGGGGAGGGAGGGAGGGAGGGAGGGAGGGAGGGAGGGAGGGAGGGAGGGAGGGAGGGAGGGAGGGAGGGAGGGAGGGAGGGAGGGAGGGAGGGAGGGAGGGAGGGAGGGAGGGAGGGAGGAGGGAGGGAGGGAGGGAGGGAGGGAGGGAGGGAGGGAGGGAGGGAGGGAGGGAGGGAGGGAGGGAGGGAGGGAGGGAGGGAGGGAGGGAGGGAGGGAGGGAGGGAGGGAGGGAGGGAGGGAGGGAGGGAGGGAGGGAGGGAGGGAGGGAGGGAGGGAGGGAGGGAGGGAGGGAGGGAGGGAGGGAGGGGAGGGAGGGAGGGAGGAGGGAGGGAGGGAGGGAGGGAGGGAGGGAGGGAGGGAGGGAGGGAGGGAGGGAGGGAGGGAGGGAGGGATGGGTGGAGTGAGGTGAGGTGAGGGAGGGAGTGGAGTGGAGGTGGGTGGGTTGGGGGGTGGGTGGGTGGGTGGGTGGTGGGTGGGTGGGTGGGTGGGTGGGTGGGTGGGTGGGTGGGTGGGTGGGTGGATGGATGGGTGGATGGGATGGATGGATGGATGGTGGATGGGATGGATGGGTGGATGGATGGATGGATGGATGGATGGATGGATGGATGGATGGATGGATGGATGGATGGATGGATGGATGGATGGATGGATGGATGGATGGATGGATGGATGGATGGATGGATGGATGGATGGATGGATGGATGGATGGATGGATGGATGGATGGATGGATGGATGGATGGATGGATGGATGGATGGATGGATGGATGGATGGATGGATGGATGGATGGATGGATGGATGGATGGATGGGTGCACTTCCAAAACAAGGCTTACAGGTTGGAGAGGTCGTAAGAGACAGGGAAGGAAGGGAGAGGCTGTCTTGGTAGAGAGCAGTTGCTGAAGAGACTGCGTGAGGATGGGAGAAACATACATGCATCCATGCACACACATGCATGCATGCACACACATGCACATGCGCCCACACACACACATGCGTGCACAAGCAGACTTGGATGTAGTAATCAGATCCACACCATGCATTGCGCACACACACATGAACATAGACACATGATGTTTACACATGGACACATGCACACTTGCAAGGGAAACACATATCCACATGCACATGCACATGCACACTTGCAGGGAAACACATATCACATGCACACGCACATGCACATGCACACTAAGTTGCCAAATACGCTTATAGCGTATATACGCGTATCGTATATACGCTAGCGTATGTACACTATCCGCGTAGGGGGTCAATGTGGACATACGCTTTTTCGGGCAGGGAAAAAACTTTTCGGGCAGGGTGAGAAAAAACGTACTCCGTATTCTCACTATGACGTGCCCTAGCAGCATTCTTCTGAGTCCGAACGGCGGGTGGGGCGGGAGGTGGTATAGACATTTCAGCTAGAGAGAGAAGTAGGAGTGGGCGGGAGGAACTCTGTTGGAAGCGGGAATGATTCGTGTGAAATGACGAATTAGCAGCTAGGGGTCGATTTTGAGAGGTTGGAGTTTGTAGATGGGTTGGGGTTGGAATGGGTTTCAATGCGGTAGATGAGATGGGTTTCAATCAATGTGTAGATCTGAAATTCGACATTTGTGCCAAATGTGCCTGAAAACTTCGAAGTCAGATCCCGGCTAGCCTAGACCACGGATTTTCATTTCGACTTCGGCGAAATGCTCACCTAGAAATTCCGCAACTATTTCGCGATATTTTTTTCGGGCAGCCCGGAAAATGTTCTGAAAGCGTATAGCGTATTCGCGGGCGTATAGCGCATAGCGTACAAACGCTAGCGTACATACGCTATACGCTGAAGGGGTTGAGCGTATTTGGCAACTTAGCATGCACATCCATGTGGTCACATACACATGCACATGCACATCCATGTGGTCACATACACACGTGCATGCGAATAGACACACCCACGCATGCACATGCACATATGCACATTTGGGCGTAGTCACATACAATACCCACATGTACAAACATAGCAAGAATCAAATCAAGCAAGGCAAGAACTATCAGCTGCGCCATCAACCCTGCTCTGCAATAAGTCCAAGTATGAGTTGTTTAAAGAAAAAAATATAGTGAACTTACTATGGGTTGTTCAAGTATGGGTTGTTCAACCCTATAGTTTCTGAGCCGAAGAATGACTCGGGTGGAGGGGAAGGCTCTTGAGGCGCCTCAAAAAGTCGGTTCCTGAGTTGGAGAACGAACGACTTACAAGTCCTTGAGATTGGGGAAGTACCAGGTGGAGGGGAAGGGGCCGGGTATTATGTTGTTGCTCCAGTAGCTGGTTGGAGAGGCAGTGAGGCGGGAGGGACGGGAGGAGGAGGGGAGGGACGGGAGGAGGGGGGAAGGGAGAGGGAAGGGAATGGATTGGGAGGGAAGAGAGGGCGAAGGGGAGGGCGTAGGAGACGAGCAGCAGCAGGTGACGAGCAGCAGCAGGTGACGAGCAGAGCAGCAGGTGACGAGCAGAGCAGCAGGTGACGAGCAGCAGCAGGTGACGAGCAGAGCAGCAGCAGGTGACGAGCAGAGCAGCAGGTGACGAGCAGCAGCAGGTGACGAGCAGAGCAGCAGGTGACGAGCAGCAGCAGGTGACGAGCAGCAGCAGGTGACGAGCAGCAGCAGGTGACGAGCAGAGCAGCAGGTGACGAGCAGCAGCAGGTGACGAGCAGCAGCAGCAGCAGCAGGTGACGAGCAGCAGCAGGTAACGAGCAGAGCAGCAGCAGGTGACGAGAAGAGCAGCAGCAGGTGACGAGCAGAGCAGCAGCAGGTGACGAGCAGCAGCAGGTGACGAACGAGCAACATCAAGAGGTGGTACGATACGAGCACAACGTCAGACTTGTGCAATGCAAGCACTTTCAACACCAGGCGGTGAGGTACCTCACCAAGCTCAACATGGCTGCCCAGTTTGGAAACACGGCAGCGGTGGGAGGTCCGGACCGGACGGGGCCCTGTTTCCCAGTGGGCTGCTTCACAACCCTGGAGCTCCAGTGCTCTTCCCAGTGGGTTGAAACTTCAGTAGGGAAGAAACTAGATGTGACATGTAGAAACTAGATGTGACATGTAGAAACTAGATGTGACATGTAGAAACTAGATGTGACATGTAGAAACTAGATGTGACATGTAGAAACTAGATGTGACAAGTAGAAACTAGATGTGACATGTAGAAACTAGATGTGACATGTAGAAACTAGATGTGACATGTAGAAACTAGATGTGACATGTAGAAACTAGATGTGACATGTAGAAACTAGATGTGACATTGGAAGGGACTCACCTTGTTTAGTTTGACCTTGCCTGCCTTTGGTTGTATGGCATGTAAATACAAGGACCATTTGAGAGAGAGCAAGGGGTCGCAACATAGAGGTGGCGCGAGCGATCACTCTATGCACGGTGCTTGCACCTCTGTGAGCGATCGCAACATGAGCGGTGCTTGCCGAATGCATACTCGGTTCCTACCAGCCTTACTAACACGATTCCTAGCCTGAGTGAAGAAACATGGTTAAAAATGAGGTGACTTTTGAGTCGACTCAAAAGTCATACTCGGTTCCTAACAGCCTTACTAACGAGATTCCTAGCCTGAGTGAAGAAACATGGTTAAAAATGCCTCCCCCGCACATACATGACAGTGAGGTTGGCGTTGTTAAAAGCGAGTGGAGTTTGAGTAAACTCAAAATGACCGCACCGCACACACACACATAGTGGAAAGTGAAGACACATAGTGGAACATTCCACACCGCACACACACACATAGAGGAAAGTGAAGACACATAGTGGAACATTCCCGCACTGCACACACGTACATGACAGTGAGGCTAGTGTTGTTGAAAGCAAGGGGAAAGTCATGGGTGAGACGGTTGCTGTCCATCAGCCTGGCAGAGAACACACGACAGCAGAGCGAACAAGAATATAATTAAGGGGGTGAATCGAATGGAATAGTTACACTAGACTTGTGTGAGACGATTGCTGTCCATCAGCCTGGCAGACAGCATAACACAGTAGCGAACAAGAGTCCAACCAATACGGGTGAACTTCTGAGGCGCCTCAAAAGCGGGTGGAAAGTCTGGGTTTTGAGGCGCCTTAAAAGCGAGTGGAAAGTCACGGGTGAGATGGATGCTGTCCTGTCCATCAGCCTGGCAGGCAGTATAAGAGAGCAGCTGACAAGAGTACTACCAACATTCACCAGGTGCTGAAACCTAAGTTGCTGCCACGTATTTTCTCAATGGTACCTAACTGGTGTCCACTTCCGCTGAGATGGATTCTGTTCTGTCCATCAGCCTGGCAGGCAGTATAAGACAGCAGCTGACAAGAGTCCAACCAACACGGGTGAACAAAAGTGTTTTGAGACGTCTCAAAACAGGCAGTATAAGACAGCAGCGGACAAGAGTCCAACCAATACGGGTGAACAAAATGGAATAGCTACACTACATGTATGGCACAGCCAATTGAACGGCCTGGGCGAGTTTTATTTGAGGTTGGGACTTACAGGGTACGTTAATGAGCACGACTCACACATGCGCGCCCTCAGCTCAGCACGACTCACACATGCGCGCCCTCAGCTCAGCACGACTCACAGGTGCATCAGCTTCGGCAGCCGGCTGATCTCTGCTGGAACAGACGTGAAGAGGTTGTTGCTCATGTGGCTGTAGGGCGAGGGAGACGAGTGGGGAGAGAAGGGTGGAAGAGGGGAATAAGGAAAGCGAACGGAAGAGAGAGAAAAACTGGGGATGGGATAGGATAGGTGAGAGAAAATAGGGATGGGTGATTCTTACAGGTGTGCGAGCTACTTGGCACCCGAGTCGGACAATGGCAGGGGCCCTTCTATCCGGTTGTCCATGGCGTCAAGCATGTTGAGGCGCGGGAGACACAAGGGAGGGCAGCAGGGGCACGTAACTTGATACTCACAGGTGCCCCAGCTCGTTTGCACCCTCAAACATGGGCAGAGGCCCTTCCAGCTGGTTCTCCATGACATCAAGCATGTAGAGGCTGGGGAGGGTGCCTACCTGTGCAGGAGAGGGGGGGTAATATTGATACTCACAGGTGCCCCAGCTCGTTTGCGCCCTCAAATGTCGGCAGAGGCCCTTCCAGCTGGTTGTCCATGACGTCAAGCATGTAGAGGCGGGGGAGGGAGCCGATCTGAGAGGGCAGGGAGCCCGAGAGGCGGTTCTGGTTGACCAGGAAGTATTTGAGGCTGGTGAGACGGCCGATGGTGGATGGTATGGAGCCTGATAGGCTGCACCCGTGCATGCCCCTGCGTGTCATTGATGAGGGCGTGAGATGGGGAGGAAGGAAGAGGCGCCGTGTAAAAAGTGAGTTTTTGAGACGTCTCAAGAACCCTCACAGACCGCACCCATGCATGTCCCTGCTTGTCATTGATGGGGGCGTGAGAAGGGGAGGAAGGAAGAGGCGGTTGTGGTTGACCAGGAAGTATCTGAGGCTGGTGGGGCGCCCTAGGGTGGCTGGGCTGGGATTGAGCCTGATAGGCCACACCCGTGCATGTCCCTGCTTGTTGTTTGGGGTGAGGAGTGAGAAAAGGGGAGTAGGAGAGGAAGTTCGGCCAACCTGTGTGTTTACAACAAACAGTGTGTACGCGTGAATATTAGACGCGGTATGCTTACAATGCAGCAGAGTGTGTACAGCGCAGCAGAGCAGAGAGAGAGCTCACAGCGTGGTAAGCTGCAGGAGGTTCCCGAGTGCATCTGGAAAGCTGCCCGTCAGATTCGGGTTGAGCGCCAGATTGCTGATGAAGGGAGGATAGAAAAGCGGAGGGACACGGATGGGTAAGGAAAAGGAGATGCGAAGGGGAGGGAAAAAAGGAGAAGAGGGGCATGCAGTCAAACTAAGGAGAGGGCTGAGATGAGCAGATGGGAATGGCAACTCACAGCAAGCGAAGTGACGTGAGGTCGAAAATGGAAGGCGGCAAGTCTCCTGCTAGATTGGCGTCCTGAATGTCACTGAGAGGGGAGGGCGAGGGGGCAAGGGGAGGAATATGATGAAAAGTTGAGGGCAGGGCAAGAATATGGTTAGGAAAGAAGAGGCAGAGCCATGATTCCATAAGGCTTCTGTTAGCTTGAATTCCTGCTTGTCACCGATAGGGTTGAGAGAGGGGAGAGGAGCATGAAAACTTTGTTTCCAGCCTTCTTTATCTCCCAAAACTCACTCCTCACAAGTCCCTTTCTAGATTGGCTGCATCAGCATTGCTGCACGGTTGACGGGTCTTCTTCCATCCAAGCACAGGGCGCCACCTCATTGCCCTTCGATGCGCTCAAATCTCAGCCATGGTGCTGTCTGTGTCACGCTTGATGTCCGAGTAATTCGGTGCTTGCTGCACCACATCACCACACTGGTTGTTCCCAGTCCAAGCACAGAGCACCACCTCATTGCCCTTCGATGCGCTCACACCTCAGCCACGGTGCTGTGCGGTACGGGCTGCCTGTGTCACCCTTGATGCCAGCCTATGTGCTCGCCGCACCACATCACCGCACTAGTTGTTCCCAGTCCAAGCACAGAGCACAAACCCCAGTCAGCCCACTTTCCCCCACTCACATCTCAGCCACGGTGCTAGAGGGGCTGCCTGTGTCGCACTTGATGCCAGCCTATGTGCTCGCTGCACTGCACCACATCACCGCACTGGTTGTTCCCAGTCCAAGCACAGAGCACCACCCCAGTCAGTCCACTTTCCCTATCCTGCACTCACATCTCAGCCACAGTGCTATAGGGGGGCTGCCTGCGTCGCACTTGATGCCAGCCCACGCACCCCTCCCCTTCCCCCCCAATTGCCTCGCTACGGGCACAGAGCACCACCACCCCCAATCCCCCATCCTGCACTCACATCTCAGCCACGGTGTTATACGGGCTGCCTGTGTCGCACTTGATGCCAGCCCATGCACTCCCCCCATCTGAGGCACTGCATGCATGTGTCTTCCCCCGTACAAGCACAGTGCTCCATCTCATTACCCCTCACTGCACTCACATCTCAGCCACTGTACTGTATGGGCTGCCTGTGTCGCACTTGATGCCAGCCCACGCGCTCCCCGCATCTGCCCCACACGGATCATCCCCCGTCCACGCGTCGAACGGGGGGCTGCTGGGATTGCCTAGAGCAGCGAAGGTCGTCAGAATGGCCACTGGAATGCGGGTCAGTGGGGGAGGGGGGGAGGGTTGGGGGGGGGGGGGGGGAGGGGGGGGGGGGTGGGGTGGAGACCGCAGACAAGGTACTCTTATGAGGTACCAGCCGTGTGCATGGCTTGGGTTGGGTTGGGGCGACCAAGGTGACCTAAGAGCTGCGAAGGTCCCCCGAATGGGCACTGGAAGGCGGGTGAGCGGGAGAGAAACGCAGAGAGGTTATTCTGTGTGTTTTGTGCCTAGGGAGAGCATGGGCATGAGGCATCAACTGTGCATGTGATGCGGCTGCTTCTGAGGCGTTTCAAAAATCGCTTCAAATAAAGCATGGGCAGGATGGGGCATCAGCCATCTATGCCGCAGGGCTGCTGGGATGGAGAGGGGGGGACGGAGGGTATCGACGCGGGTTATTGTCCCTTGGCGGTACTAGCCTGTACTTTCCTATTGTGGCAAACATTCCTTTTCCTGTCGTCGCGAATGCATCCAGTGCGGCCAATAGCTTTTGAGAAGAGGTGGATGGGGGAAGAAGGGAGAGGGGTGGGGGAGGGCAAGGGGGGGAAGGTAGGGGGAAGAGGGATGCTGATGGGGATGTTGATGCTGAGACGGCGCAGCAGAGCGGCTTACTTTTGAGGCCGCGCTCTCAGTTCAAAGGAGCTTGTGTTCAAGGGGATGCTCCCAGGTCCCTACCAGCACTAGGTATGGCTCTTGAAAGACGTAAGGCATGGGTGGTACGGTTTTTTGCGATGAATTCGTCTCTAAGAAAAGCCACAGTGTGACATCCATGCACTGACGAGATTTATCGCACCTTCATCGTGCGATTTGACGGGAGGATTCTATTGGGGGCGAAGTGGATTCGGTTGGACACCTGTCATGCGATCCAGGCGACCTCTGTCGCTCGCCAAAACAAGGTTCGGTGTCCAAACTGGGGGCCTGCCCCAACTGGACACCATCAGCGTCGGAAAAGTTGTGATGGTGGGAAAACTTGATGGTGTCCCAACTTGAAACCGCAGTCTGAATCATCGTTCTCCGACTTCCTGCACTTGACAGCCAGAAAGACTCCACTGGAGCTCGGCAAAGGTGCAGTGCTTCAACATGTGTAAAATGCGGACACATGGTCCCCCCGAGCATTGGGGTGAATGCGAATGACGATTACCGCTCCAAATATCATCCCGGATGAATGCGCTCAAACTAATTGCGACATCCTACGAGTGGTTGAAACAGGATCCAGCAGATTCGCCTTTGCCTATTCAATCATAGGATTCGGCATTCGGCAGATTCGCCGGGGCATTCGCAGGCGTAATTTCAGGGCTAGCATTCCTTCAGAAGAAACGACGTGACGACTCGAGAAACATGTCGGAACGAATCGCCTACCGTGTGCGGGATCACGGATCGATCGCACTAAGAATCCCAAGGAATCGCCTACCGTCGGAGGAACGAATCGCCTACCATGAGCGGGATCAGTCACAGCGAGAACGCTGCGACTCCGTAGCAAGGCGGCGAGCAGCGCGAGCGTTGCTAGGAGCGGTACTAACTCGCACGACGACGTTGCTCGCAGCGGCGCGTGACACCGAGATCCGACGGAACGACGAGCCATTTTCGTCCTTGCTACTGATTGAGGTGGCGCTTTGAAGAAATATTATCGCCTGGGGCACATTGTCGTGGAGTATTTGCGAGAATAACTCCGCATCAGATTCTGACATTCAAAAGCGACTTGCTAATAGTGGTTGAGACATAACTGTGTGGTGAAGCGACGTCTGCCATCGACGTCTGTGAAATTTGCTTCACCCTGCTTCCTGGCAGTTTACCATCGGATGCGCTTCCTGCAGATTGGCTGCGTTCTGCAGGCACGACAGAGGGCGGGGAGGCGGTAAATAGGAACCTTCCCCCAACTGCGTTTTTTGGATCAAACGCCCGGCCAGCCCGGAAAATGGATCCGAGCCTCCCATTTACCCTCCGAACGTAAACGAAGGTGGTGTTCTGGTGACTCCTGCGGGAGGGGGGGTGGGGAAGAAATGTAAATGATGATCGTTCCGAGGGTGTTTCCTGGCCCGATTTCACCACCTCCCGCTACAACCGAAGATGGGAAATTTCGGGCGCGAGGGGGGGAAGGCTCCGACGGGTGTTTTCTCCCCTAGCTCCTCTCTTACATCTGTCCCAAATCCCCGTGAAGAGTGGTTGCCGAAAGGGGGGGCGAGGGAGGCAAAATTTGCCTGAGGAGGAAGGTGGGGAGCGTAAATGTGCAGCTTCCAAAGGGTGCACATCCCTGAGGGTAAATGAGCGTTCAATTGGCATTTACCTTCGTTTTGGTTCGGAGGGCAAATAGGTGGCTCGGCACGGTTTTACGGGCTGACCGACGTGTCGAACCAAAAATGCAGAGAGGGGAAGATTCCTATTTCCCCTCCCCCCCCCTCCCCGCCAGTGCCTAGAGAACACCACCGAAGGTAAATGGCAACAGAACAGCCATTTACCCTCGTGGATATGAGGGCGTAGGAAGCTGCCTATTTCCCCACCCCAGCTTCCTTCTCTGGCAAAATTTGCCTCCTTCTCCCCCCCTTTCGAAAACTGCTCTTGCCCGGGATGTGAGACGGAGGGGGGAGGGAGGCGCTGGGTTAGGGAACACCACGGTTGAACCCTAGAAAGCAAACAGCCCCTCCCTTAAGTAGCCCAAACAGGGACGCGTCAACCTAGGTTAAAAAAGCACAAGCCACCAACCGAGGTTTGTGTGTTGCTGGAGGGAGTGCTTGGGTGCCATTTTTTCTACATGGTAGCCCCTTTGCTAAAATTCAACCCTTTTTCTGATTTCGCGCTGTTCTCTGTACCCCACCTCTGTGCGTTGGAAATTGTGGCTGTTTTTTCGGCATTTACCTTCAGCAGCTTCGCACCCTAAACCCGAAATTTCCAACTTTCGGTTGTAGCGGGGGGGGGGAGGGATTCGAAGGGGAAACTGCCTCGGAACCATCGTCATTTCCCTTCGCCCCCCCACCTCCCTCCCAAGGGAGATGCCTGCAGAACGCAGCCATTGTCCAACGCATTTCTAGGGTTAGGCCCTGTTCGATAGCAAAAACACCAACCAGTCTCCCACCATTGTTGGGTTTGGGCTGTCGCACAAAAAAAGGACAAATTTCAAGGGGAAAACGCGACTGCAATGTAATTATTGGTGCCAGGTCATTGCCTGCAACAGAAATGGTGGGAAGAAGTGAAACATCTGAACCTCAACGGTCGATTGAAGTGGAACGAGTTTTCACGGTCTTCGTCCGGAAAATGAGCCGCAAACAAAAATTCCAGCTGAAATTTCTACCGCGTGGTTCGTTTCGGTGACAACCGTTTCAAATGGTATTGGCATGCTAGAAACACTTATTTGTACCCTTGCGCCGGGCAGAAAAACAATACTCTTGGACCCCATAAAAACTGAATGAAGTGGCTTGGTTGAAAAGCGGTTTCACAACCATTCTCACACCGTGTGAAGCTTTGCCCCATACACTTGGTAATCATTACGTCTACAGTTACTGTTCGGGCACGCTGTGGAGTCAGGAACCCTGGTCAAACTTCCCGCCTCGTATTCTCGCGTGGGCGGGAAATTCGTGTCATCGCAGGGGATGTCGTTCGCATGGGCGGGAAACTTGTGTCATCGCAGGGGGGTCGTTCGCGCAGGCGGGAATTCAACCTTATCGCACGGGGGTCGCAACAGTCGCATGGAGTCGTAGACCCTTTCCCGCCCATTTTCTCCCACCGTGGGAGAAATTTTACAGTTGGGGTCACCCTGCTATCGAACAGGGCCTTAGTCTGGCGGAAATACATGCTGCGCGCGGACTATGTGCGAAAACCTTCAAACCCCAGGCAAAACGCGATACACATAGCCCCGTAAAGGAAAATTGCATGAAGGGTGGTTTTTGTGCTACTAATTTGTAGATTTCGTATTTTACGTAGATTTGGACCGCGCTTGCTTCAACTTCTCGTCGCACGGTTCCCCGCGGTGATCAATGTCGCATGACTAACGGGCAAAACAAAACAAAATCAATTATGGTTTGGGGGTCGAATAGAAGGCAAAACTTCTGCTTTACCCTGTAAGCGGGATAAATGAGATATCATCGTCGAGCGCGCTGGAGACCGCACGACAGGATTGAGAAGTAATCACGGTCAAGAGAAATAATTACTAACAACTTTAAAGTTAATTATCGAATAAAAAATTACGTCTTTGTCGTTTTCCCTGAATGTTGGGCTGGTTCGATCTGGAGCCTCTGATTGGCTGCGGAGCGTTTGTGCAATGATTTGGTCAAGATGCAAAATTTCCCGCCAAAAAAGGGACTATAGGGGTCGGGCCAACCCTATGCATTATCGGAAAACTCTACTCAAGGGGGAAAGGGGACTCTTTTGGTCAGAGCCTTTAACCCGGAACACCTGTAATTGCTCGAGTGTCTTGATGGGGATTCCCGCAGGCTTTTTTTTACCCGGCATAATACTGCGGAGATAACTTCTACAACGGGAGCTAGACTACGGGCTAGGCACGGGTGCTCGTGTGATCTCTGCGTTCGTTGGTCCTTATTCGGTTTCCTAGTGCACACACTGCTTGCTAGTTCACGGGGCAAGTTGGCAAGAGTTTCACTAGAGAAAGTTGACAACAATGGTAAAATCAGGTTGGCAAGACAAGACTACATCAGAGCTAGCATTCATGTTGGTCAACTGCCAGCGCAACATGGTCGACCGCGTTCCAGCACGACTTGGTCGACCGCGCTCCAGCAGTGCAAAGTCGACGGCGTGCCAACGCTGCAGGGCGACGGCGTGCCAACGCTGCACGGTGTCAGAACATATATATAGCTTATGCTGTTGTGTAGGCTATAGTGGGGTATCCCATAGGGGGTACAACCCAATTAGGGTTTCCTATATGTACTCACTTCATTCATAGTTCATCCATTCTCGTTCTCATTCTCACATGGAATCAGAGCAGGTCCCCTCCTAGGGACTGTTCCTTGGGCCCACCGAAACGCGCCTCGAGTCGCGCCTGCCCTTTTTTTTTTAGCGGCCCGTCGAGTCGCACCTGGCGGCCCGTAGTGCCGCCCTTACGGTCGCGTCGAGCCGCCATAGCGGCTGCGGCGCGCCGCCCCTTTTCCCGGCCCGTCGCCGCCCTTACCCGCGGCGTTACGCCGCCCTCACCGGCGGCTTCGCGCCGCCCCTTACCTGCGGCCCCGCCGCCTCTCTCGTCGCGGCCCCGCCGCCCGTCTTCGCGGCCCCGCCGCCATCTCTCGCTGCGGCCCCGCCGCCACTCACTGCGGCCCCGCCGCCCGTCTTCGCGGCCCCGCCGCCTCTCTCGCGGCGGCCCCGCCGCCTCTCACTGCGGCCCCGCCGCCCTACTCAGCGGCCCCGCCGCCCGACTTCGCGGCCCCGCCGCTTCTCTCGCTGCGGCCCCGCCGCCTCTCTCGCTGCGGCCCCGCCGCCTCTCTCGTTGCGGCCCCGCCGCCCTTCCCTGCGGCCCCGCCGCTTCTCTGCAGCGGCCCCGCCGCCCGTCTTTGCGGCCCCGCCGCCTCGCTACGTCAGCGGCCCAGCCGAGCCGCCCAACAGCAGCGCAGCCGAGCCGCCCAGCAGCAGAGCAACCGAGCCGCCCCGCCGCCGAGCCGAGCTGCAGCCGAGCCGCCCGGCCGCCGAGCCGCCCTGCCGCCGAGCCGCCCTGCTGCCGAGCCGCCCGGGAGCCGAGCAACCGAGCCGCCGTGCAGCTGAGCCGCCCTGCTACCGAGCCGCCCTGCCGCCGAGCCGCCCGGGAGCCGAGCAGCCGAGCCGCCCTGCCGCCGAGCCGCCCTGCCGCCGAGCCGCCCTGCCGTCGAGCCGCCCGGGAGCCGAGCCGCCCAGCGGCCCAGCCGCCGAGCCGCCCAGTCGCCGGGCCGCCCTACTGCCGAGCCGCCCGACCTGCCCTGCCTGGTGAGCACAGCACCACTGTTACTGCGTGCCCTTCCCCTACTGCTTGCACTACTACACTGTCGTCGTCATGGCTACCCCTAGTGTCCTCGCTTTTGACGCTGAGGGTCGAG